TGTCTAAAATTGTTTTCATTAAATTTAGTCAAAAAATTTATTTAATTATAGTAAAAAATAAATTTAAACCTGAAATTTTTTCCTATATTTTGTCAAAAAAGTGAACAAATTTTTTACTTACAAAACTGTGCCTAGTCGTTATTTTATGCATATTTGTTTTATCAGTTTTATTGGTCTGTATCAGGATTTATCCGCAGTCTGAAAGCCGGCGAGCAGTACAGATATATTTCCAGTTTTATCTGTTGATGCTCAACCACCGTTCAAAACTATAAGGCTATAAAACTTTGATTATAATTCCAAAACACAGATTCTAAACATTCTAAGTTTTTTTTTTCTTTTGATACTGCTATCAAACTGTCGTTTAACAGATCTACATGCTTTAAGCACTGTTTCATTAAACGTTATCAAGTACTTTAATCTTTTTTTTCTTTCTTTTGAAAAGTTCTATCAAAAAAACTAAATCAGGCGCGTTTACTTGTCGATCTACAACGAATAACTGTTTTGTAAACATGAGCAAAAAATGTGGTGAGGTTATCAAATAATGCTGCCTGTTTCCAACTGCCGATCAGCTACAAAACATATCTGCGGTTTTCAACATGATCTTCTTCCTCGATACAAAATTTAAAGAACTATTAACCGGCAAAGATTTATTAAACGATGTAGCAAGAGCACCCCCTACTTACCACCCTGAAATCGCTTTGTCCAAAGGACATAGAGAAACCACTGTTCTTAGCAGTTCTAACAAAGACCTAAAATCCCAAAGAAATACTGAAATGCAACCGAACCTCTGACTGAAGAACGACCACGTTGCATTCACTACAAGTAATTTCTTCAGTACAAAATCTTGTCAATTTTGAACGATAAAGCATCAACAGTGTTTTCTTTCAAGCAGCTGCAAGTCTTTGAAACCAGTTTCAGATCCTTTCTGATCAAACAATCGTTCATTTTATTATATGCCAAATTAAAACTCCTTCAGTTCCTTGCTTTTTTGAAAATAAAATTACAACTTCTTTGGTAGGCTTTATTACTCTGTCCCGTACAGCAAACAATTTACCTTATTTCAAATAATAGCACTTCTGAAAGATAAAAAAATCAAGACTTTTTATAATATCTTAATGAAAGCAAACTTCTACACAAAAAATTATGATAACATATTCCTAGGAATTTTCCAGCAGCTTCAGTCTATAAAGGTGAAAACTTTTGGATCCTTTATTATACATATGCCAAACATCCTATAATCGGTGAATAATCTAAAACTTTAGACGTAGAAAGATTCCCTAAACTGCACTAAGTTGGAATCAGCAAACAGCAAAGAAACTATCCATCAAGTTTTTTTTTTTTTGAAGTATCTAAACAGTTCTGAGAATTCCATATTAATGAACTGAATTTCAACTTCGCATACCTGTCAAGTTTCAATTTGCAAGTGGAACTAAACCACTAAACCTGCTTTCAAGTATCCGATGTTTACGTTTAATGTGCGAAAATTGTAATCGAGCTTAATGTATTCACCTGTATGTATCTTTAAGAGTTACTTTTGAAAACACTTGATTTCACGTAATCCAAAACAATATTTAATTGCAGTCTCTTATGTTGAGCACAGTTCTCACACTTACCTTCACAAGTTTCTTACTGTTTCTATTCCCTCAATTACAAACAGTAATGCTTAAAAATGCATCTGGTTCCAAGCTACACGCACAAACCCTGTCATCGAAACTTATCAGCAAAGAGGTCAAAGACCATCCGGACACAAAAAATAGAGTTAAAACACTACAAACTAAATGGTGAACCTTTTCTATATTATACATCACAAACACTTCCTATTCTTCTAAACTGAGTGAAAAAAAAGTTTGAATGCAATCTTTGAAAAACAATAAAATTGCAGCATTAAAGTTGCGTTTAGATAAAGGCAAAAACAAGAAAAACCAGATGATTAATAAAGTACGAGAATGACAGCAATTAGCATGCTGTCAAATAGTTAACAGGAATAGTGAAATAATTTTCCTAAATGGTACAAATTTTATTGTTCACAAAAAAAAAAACAGCCAAAAACTGTTTGTTTTTGGAAATCTAAAAATCAAAAAAATTGCAGACTGAGCTTAAAAATTCCAGAAAATGGTCACTAAAGCAGACTGACAGAAAAAAAAGTAGTGAAATTCAAAGAACTGAACCGATAAGCTCCTGAATGTTATGCTATTTTTGAACGGTTAATTTAATAGTTGCCTGAGATAGCCGGAATTCACACATTGTTCTCCAATTCTCAACAACCACTGTTTACAGCGGGCCGATAGCCGATGAAACAGCGAAATAAAATACCGATAAACTTTGACCAACAAATCAGAAAAACTTTTTGTCTGCAGCATAAAAAATTTGCAAAAGTCAAAAAAATTTTTTTTCCCCTTTCATATCATTAGAAAATAAATAATGAATATAAGTTCAAATATCTAAACAACCTAACATTCAAATAACATTATGCATATTTTTAAGCATATCTACCAATAATATCAAAAAAATATATATATATTTTTTTAATGTACAGATAATCATAAATCGTCGTTTTGTTCTCCTTTTTTCCTCTGACCATAGTTGTATAACAGTTTTACAAAATCACATAGTTTTAAATGCCTTTAAAACCTTTCATTCAAAAATCTTTTATTTTTTACCCCTCTTCTTTTCCTTTTCTCCTCCCCTTTCAGTAACCTACAAACAAATTTATATGTAGTGCAGCAGTTTCTTTTTCCAACAAATACCTCAATCATTTTATCTTCTTCTCTTTTTTCTATTGTAACGATAACGAAATACACACACACACACACACACACACACACAAAAAAAGTAATAAAAATAAAAGATAAACTCTTTCATGTCTGCTTTTTTATTTTACCTTTTTTAAGTGTTTCTACTTTTTTTTTTTCTGTTTTTATTAGTTCGACAAATCTGATGTAAAAAAAAAGGCATTAGTTTTCAGTATTTTTAATTTTCTTTTTTGTACTTTGACCATTAAAATGGAAACAAAAATTGCCGTCAAATTCGTCTTATTTGTCGTTCTTTTTTTCTCTCATTTTTATACTTTTCTTATAAAAATTTGTATATTTATTCCAAACAAACAAAAAAAAGAAATAAAAAAATTAAAAAAAAAAAAAAACACCTCATCATCAGGGCAGATATGACAACCGACCAACTACTGCAATGCCGATGGAAGCATTCACTGAGACAATTTACAGATTCAAACTCCACGGTTTTTTTGTACCATAAAAAACTAACTTCAAAATTGGAACAATTCCATTGGTCTTAAAGCGATAATTTGTTTTTTTTTTTTTATTTAATTTTGTTTCTCAACTGTATCTCTGTGTCTGTCTGTGATCGTCGTTTGTGTGTTTGTGTATGGTTTGTATTTCAGAGGAATAATGGTGTTAAAGAAGATGGCAAATTTTGGTTTCATTTTTTTTTTTTTTTTGGTTTTTTTTTTTTTTTTTCTAAATCTCCATTTTTCTTAGCCTCTCATCCTTTCCGTACTTTCTGCTCCTTCTCCTTCAATTCTTACCGCTTTTGTCCGACAGTCCCTGAACACCATTCGTGAAATTATGGCTTTAATAATCGTTATCCGGTATGTTATGTAAATCTCTAGTCTGTGCAGTTTTGAATCAGAAAAAAAACTTTTTTTTTCCTTTTTTTTTGTTGCACTCTTATAGTACCATCAAAATTGTGTAGGCGAAAAAAACGTAAAACATCATTCGTTTATCAGTGTTACCAAACGTTTTATTAAAACACATTAACTGCTTATTGTTTTATTGCCAACTTTTTGTGTTTGTTGAGGTGTTTTTTTTTTTCAGTCTTTGGACAATATTCGGAGCAAATTATGTATTGGAAAATGTAGTTTCTATACAGTTTTTTCTTCCGTTTTGCCTGGTTGCTACTTGATCTTTTTTGTCTGTGCAAATAAGCATTGGTTTGTTGAACTGCATAAATAGCACTGTTGTGTTTCCGCTGTCAGTTATCTTTCTTTCCGTCGCCTTCGTTTTTTTTAACAGTTTTTTTATCTAATTTTAAATAGCACCAGTAAGGTACTCTAATGATCTCTGATGTATAGGTTTAACGAATTGGAAAACGATTAAACAGGCAAATATTGTTAAATCACAGAACACTCTAAATAATATTATTACTTCTGAAGAGCACTGGGATATTCGTTGTATTATCGTATAGAAGAAATCGAATGTATTTGTTGAAATATGACAGTTTATTTTTCTTATCATATTATATCAGTTGATTGCAGTGAGAAGCGCCTCAAACTGATAGACCTTGATTCGTTAGTTTTATAGTGAAACTACCGTTTGGCTGGAATATTCTTTGGTATTGTCAGAAACATTGGTACTGAAAGGCTGTTAAAAAAATTTTTAGCTTTACTTCAACTATGGATCTATGATGTTTTGGCAAATGTGGCTTGCTTAAGCATCTAGTAAGGTTTAGTTTTCATTACTTCTAATTTGTTGATAGGGAAGCGTGCGAAAAAAAAGTTTCTGTGATGGAAATTATTTGATCTTAAATTGCATTTGAGGGCATATGTTATTCTGGCAGATAGAAAACAGAGAAAGTGATCATTTTATTGGTTGTTAAATTTTGAATCGATTTGGATGTAACATTGGATGTGTACTGTTAAATTATCTGAAAAACCTTGGTTTCTTTCTCGATCTGCCGTATAATTTGTTTCGTATTAGGTTTTTTTTGATGTTTGGAAAACGTATTTATTCTGCCTAGGGCAGTTGAGCTTCTTCAAATGAGAGTCTTAGATTTTTTTCTTTGCCGTAGTACGTTTTAAGTTTGAAAGCATACTATGAAGTGTCTGATATCTTTGAATATTATTACAGAAAACTAGACAGTTTTGTTGTTTTCTAATGTTGTCTGTCGTTATATTTTTAGGAATTTACTTCTAAATTTGGGGAATTTAAATGGATTTTGGGGTTTGGCACATTTTAAATTTTCACTGTTTAGGGAATATTTTAGGGATGAAAAGCGAAGGTGGTTCAAGGACTGGGAAAGACAAAGTTAGACGAAAGGCACCGATTAAGGTCAGTCTATTTCTTTAATTCTTATTCCTTTTATTAATCTTTTTTTTACACTCTGATGCTTATTCGTACCAGTATTTTATGCTCATTATTGTGCTTTGGTACTTTAAATCTCAGAGCAATGGATTTTCCAACCTTTTAAACAGATTGTTTCTTTTTTCTCCAAAGAACGTTTGAAATCCTTTAAGGCTCATTTTGTGCAGGTTGTTCTTCGTCGGTTACCCGGTGGGTTTGACTGGAGTCAGCTGTTGACACAGTTGGAACCACTTCCAGAAACAGAGTCCTTGCAGTTTGTCCCGGCCAATTCAGAGTGAGTTTGTTAAGGAGTACTATAAAGATTTTTCTTTTTACTTATGAATGGTACATTTTAAGGGAAGAAGAATACAAATTTGCTAGAGCTTATTTTGTATTCAAAAACGATGAAGATATTGTTGCTTTTCGAGACCGATTCAATGGTTACGTTTTTGTTGATTCACAAGGTAAGCTTTTTCAATGATTTCAGGCTTTTTTGCGGCTTGCGCTTGCAGTTGATACAATTAATGCAGAGTATTTCGGGATTAATTTCTCACTTTTTTAGATTTGTTGTGAGTAAATTCTTACGATACATCTGGTACTGAATTTCAATTTTTAAGGAGTGGAGTCTGTTGGCCTAGTTGAGTTAGCACCAAATCCTAAGGTTGCTCGTAACCGACGCGAAGATTCAAAAAAACGCGATCGCAGGTGTGGAACGATAGAATCTGGTAATTCTGCACTATCGTCATTCACTTTATTGCTTACTTGTATGGAAAGCCGTTTTATTGCAAAGTGTGTGTTATATTTCAGACGCTGAATTTAAACAGTTTTTGGATGACAGAGAGCACCCGTTAAAAGTCGATATACCATCTGTTGAAGATCGGGTTAAAGAGATCGAAGAAAAGGAGAAAATGCAAATAGGTACTTCTGCAGTACTTTTTTTTTCATAATACTTATACTGTCTAGATGACTAGTTTGTTTGTAGTATGTATATGGAAGCTTATTTCCTTGGTCTATTGGAAC